TGCATCGCGTGCATTCGCGGGCTCCAGTGCGAATAACTCATTCAATCCCCTGTGCTTGCTCAGAAGCCAGCTGTTTCAAGATGGTGGGCCGCTCTCGCGGTTTGCTGTCCGGCGTGCTGGCCATGGCGGCTTGCACTTGGCTGGCATCCACCTTCGTGGCAGCGCCAGGCAGCGTGAGGCAAGGAAAGGCCCTGCGTGCCCTGCCGACACCAGGCACCAAGGAGACTGAGAAGGCAGAGCAGGAAGATTCAGATCCGTTCAAGATGCCGAAGCCAGACATGGGCCTCATGAACGCACAGGCCCGAGTTGGCACGTCTGTGGACCAGGACAGGCGTGGCAACATGTGGTCAGTGGAGCCGGAGACAAGGATCAAGATGGATGATGACGGCGAGATGCTGCCGGCACTGATCTACTTTCCTGTGGTCATTGGCCTCACTATCGGTGGCATTTTCTTCTTTGCCAAGCTGATGAATGACGACCCTCGATTCGGTGGCATGCTGGGTGACGATGCTCGCGGCATCAACGAGTGGGGCTAAAGCAGAAAGCTGCCGCACTCTTTCAAGACGATGCACCTGCCTGTGTGATGGGGGAGCCTTGGGATGAGTTGCCGATGGATTTTCCTGGCGCCAGGGATTTGTTTCTTATCGTTTTGAGCAGGGCTCCTTAAAAGATACACTTTGCAACTACTTGAAACATGCTGCTTTTCCACCAAAATAACGGGAAACCACCATTTGCAAGTTGCAATGTTCAGGTGTATATGTAAGGATCCTTTGAAGGCCCTCAGCTGGCGCCAGTCTTTTCACGCGCTCCAAAAGAAGCGCGCTTGGTGTTTCACAGCTTCAGTTCTCCGGCCGAGTGAGTCGCAGATTTCGGGTGAGAAGAAATGGCCGCTTGCGATGTTGTAATGGGGTCCTGTTTCTCCCTTTTGCAACCTGTTTGTTTACATATATTCAACCGTTATTTGGCCAATTGGGTAGGGGTGACGCTCAAAGGGAGAAGTATTGAGAAGCCGGTGGAATGCCTGGGGTTATTCCACGGCCCCCCGGCACTTGGCACTCCATGTTATTCTCAACATGTGTTTGGCATTGACGACGTTGCACCACTTCACAGCATGACAATGATAACATACCCCTGCGGGCGGCTACCTGGACTTTCCTGGAGGGAGCCCCTTTCAGGTGCCATGTTGGCACTTGCTGGCCGATAGCATGCGACACAGTGAACGAGTACATCTTTGTTTCTCGCTTTGTGAGGGCGACTCATGAACTTCCCGTGCAATCCATGCATCCTTGTCCCAAGCATTGCGTTTCGTTGAGCAATGTGTTTGTTCACCTTCATTCCAAGTAAGGTTCCCTTTGGTCCAAAGAAAGCGGGTCGAATCTACGTTGTTCGTCCGGTGCAGGGGGGCATGCGATGAAACGCAACCTCCCAAAACCAACGTAGAACCTGCACAGGGGTCCTTTTAAGCCGGTTCCTGTGCATGTTCCTTCTGGTTTTGGGATTTGTTTTACCCGGGGGCACCCCCTATTAGCAAACTGGGGTTGACGAAGCTGGGGTCAACGTCACGGCCAGTTTCACTCAACTAGGAAGAAGGGCTTCCTTGTGGTTTCCCTTTCTAGGGGCACCAAAAAAAGAAAAAACACGCACACCCAAAGGGCACTGCAGGTCCACAGCTCTGTCGATTTGTCATCCAAAAGGTCGATGTTGGCAACCTGTTTTTTTTTCCCCCGGCAAGGCCTGCCACCCGGGCAACGGGACATCACTCCCAAAAAAAAGTAAAACCAAGGACACCCCCTATTTTCACAAACTGGGGTTGACTAATCTGGAGGGTCAACATCAAGTAATGATTCGCACCATTCACCCCAAACACACCCCTTATGAATAAACATGGCTGTGGGTCAAAACCAATGGTGCCATTTTGGGGTAGGTGCACCACCCATTTTAGTCTAAATCAGTGGGGATTGCGATGTTCACTGGGGGTACGATTTGGATTTTGACCCATGGCTACTTCAGGTGCCCCTCCCCCTGCGGCACACGGCTGGCGCTGCTGGGCAGCGTGCGAGGTCAGCAGGCGAAGCTGGCTGACGGGGGACCTGACCTTTCGTGGGTTTCGTGTGGGCAGAATGGGCGTGGTGCGCGCTGGAAAGAATGGCCATGGGTCAAAATCAAAATCGTACCCCCAAGTAAACATCCAAATCCCCACAAAATAGCGTGGTACGCCTACCACAAAATGGGATCCCATTAGTGTTGACCCACGGCCAAAAAGCAAAACCGCAGAAACTGGGGTCCCCCCCCCATTTTCAGACATGATGCGAATTCACAGGATTTTTTGTGGCGTCGGTTCCTGGACCGCGCGTGGTGCTCGCATTCCAGGCGCTCCTTGTCGCCGACCTCTCCACGTTGCTCGTGCAGGGCCAGGCTGGGGCAGTTCAGCTCCTTTGGAGCTGGTGCTTGGGAACACGGTGTCACACGTAAATCTGGCATGAACATAGACTCAAAGCAGAGGGTTGCTCTTGAAGTGTCAGATGGTTGGGTGAAACGAGCATCTGGTGATCCAGGAGTGGTCTGCCCGACCCGTTCCTTGGGGGGTTGGGGGGGGGGGGCCTGGCTTTGACAGGGCATGCGAAGAAGCCCATCGATTGACCTGGGGAGTGGGGGAAAGCCTGTGCCTGGCTTTGTCTGCAGGGCTGTGCGACTAAGGGCCCGCCCCCGGGGAAACCACAACTTGCCGGTGCGATAGGCAGGGAATACGAGTGACCAAGAAAAACAATCCATCCGAGCTGGTTTCCTTCGAGAATCCCCTTCCGGTTCATTCCCAACACCCGGCCACGGTCATTCTCTACTGAGCACCAGCAAGTCAAAAAAGCAACAACAACCACATTTTCCTGTCTGGGCATCGAGCGTGGTTTTCCATTCCCCACATGGCCACCTATCGCACCAGCAAGACAGTGGTTCATTCCCTCATTCCTTATGGCACCAGCAAGAAGAAGAAGCAGCGGAAAAGGAGCAAACAAAAAGAGTGGGCCCGGCTGATTTTTCGTCTCTTTGGAGTTGGTACCCGGTTTTGGGTGGACTTTCCCCCCATTTGGCGCCACGTTCTTCTGGGACGAGCAAACGGCGACGCGCGCTCCTTGCTTCGCGTGCGGGGGTTCAGGCCTCCGCAAGCCTGCACTGTGTTGGCACCGCGGGGCCGCCCAGCGCATGTCAACCGAGTCCATTTTGAGGGCACCTTGGTTTTTTTGGTGGATTTGGAGCTAATTTCGATCCGAAAGCAAACCATCATTTTTGGCGGTCCACGTAAAAAAAGAAAAGAAGGGCGAGACGTATGTATGTATGTATGTTGGGACCCTGCCAGCGAAGTTTTGTGACTCACGCCCAAAGGTCTTGATTTGAGGATGTGCTGGGAGAGAGGCCCATTCCAATCGGCCACGTCAGAATATCTCCGGGCTGTGTAGTTTTCTTGTCCCACTTAAGAAATCCGTCAGCTTTGCGGAAATGCAAAAATCACCATGCAGGTTTCTGCGCGAAGCCTTGAGGCTGTGTTGCCAGCCTTGGCTTTGCCAGATGGGTGCGGTGCGGTTTGAATCCCAAGCTTGGGGCCCTTCGCCACGCCCAAGGCCGCGCCCCTCTACTTTGACTGGGCGCCCCACGCGCCGCGGCCACAGCCAGATGTAAGGCGCGCCATCGGGATGCCGGGGGGGTTTCGGGTGCCGGAAGAGCGAGGCCCGAGATGCTCCTGGCGTGCCACGAGAAGAAGCTGGCGCCGGCCTCTGGTTCTTTTTTTCGCTCACCCCTTTGGTGCTGGAAGTGGACGCAAAATATATACCGAAGCGCTGGTTGGAGGAATCCCGTTCAACTTTTCCAGTTGGCATGGTTGTTGTTGGTAAACATTTTACATTTCTGCTTATTGTGGTTTAGTGGTTGGAATCCAACCACTTGACTGTTAAGATTCATTGTGTTGCTCCTTTTCCAACGTCAACCAAGTTGGGGGGATGTCGATTTTCCCCATTTTTGCGGAGCACCCCGAAGCACCGCGCCCTGCGCCCAGCGCCACCTCTCGAGGTGGCCGTGCGGGGCTGTGTGCCCCGCGAGCTGGCGGAGCTGCCGGTGCCGGCGGTGGAGCCCGCGGAGGCGCGGTGCGCGATCTGACAGCTGGCTGGAGGGTGCCTTCTCTCCCACGGCACTGGGGTTCCTGGCAAGAGACCAGGTAGGTCCCCCAGTAGTGCCCTTTTGCCGTTTCTTTTTTGGGGAGATTTGGTTCCCATACTAAAAGAAACCGAAGAAACAAGTTGGTAGCCTAACCGCTCTGCTGGAGGACATAGGGTATGTTAGTGGAAGGGAAGCCGTGGATGCATCCGCCTGAAGAGCCGCCCGGAGCTTCGGCTTGCGATACTTTTACTTAGGTTGCTCAAGTCGCCTGCGTGCGGGGGGAGGTTGCAAGTCATTTCGCAAGTCCTTGGTGGTTCCCAGCCGTCCGGTTTTTCCGGTTTGAAGCTTGGTAGTTTCCATTTACCCCACTAAAAATTAAGCCTTTACTGAGGACAGCCAAGAGTCACCACAGGCAGTTGCGGCGCGCAACGAAGAGCCACAGCTGGCGGTACATCGCGGGTGGGTGCCATGGGTTTGCCGCTGCCATGGAGCCCGATGAGGATGACGAGGAGGCAAGCGCGGGTGCCCATGATCTGAAAGGGTGGGGACTTTTCGATTTTCGAGCCTGACTTCTGGCCACATGTTCCTGAAACCGCGAGGTTTGGAAGTTTGATCTGCGAGCATCGTCTGAAGTAGCTTTTCCTCAGGAGCTGCGGGCGGAGGTGGACCGGCTCCGCGAGGCCTGCGAGCGCCACCTGGAAGAGGCGGAGCGCCAGCAGCGCGCCGCGGACCAGGCGGAGCGGGGGGAGGGGCGGGGGGAGGGGCGGGCGGAGCGCGCGCGGGTTTGGATCCGAGTTTTTGTTTGGTGGGGAGTGGGGAGCGGGGGGGTCTTTTTGGGGGGGTGGGGTGTTTGGGGCCCCCTCCGAAAGCGGATTGAACTCCGGGGGTTGGGGATGGTTGGGGAGTGGGGAGGGGGGCGGGTGGTGGGGTGGTGGCTCCGCAAATCCGAAGGGGTTGAAATTTGTCCGGTGAACCAAGTCGGCGAGGGTGCTCGCGCTTCGTAACGCCCCCCCCCCCCCACAACCAGGTGGCAAGTCTGGGAGGGAAACGTGGAACCCTGGTCCCCCTTGAAAGCTTCCACAATGCTTAAACATTAGAGTTTGTCAATCCATTCCAACCATGCCTTTTGGGCCAATTTCAACTTGAGGTTTCTTTTCAAATGCCGACGTTTGGCATTTGATGACCGAGACTATTCGAATTCGAATTGGTTAGTTAGTTCGCTGATGGTCCAGATGCTCAGATGCATTGTGATTTCCCAAATTTGCTCAAGGTTTGAAGGGAACCTGATGGCTCTGGGGATCTAAGCCAGAGGCACTCTTGAGACATGGTGCATTGCGCAGGCGAACCGGCGAGTGGAAGAACAGGAGAAGGCGCGTGGCGCATGGGGCTGGTCCGCTGTCACATATATCACTCTGTCAGCCCATATTCGCAACAGCTCGGAATGGCCGAGGGAAGCCACGCGGTGAAGGTTTTGGGACTTTGGGCGGTGTCGTGGGCGTGTCTGTCTTGGAGCTTTGGAGGTGTATTTGTGGAGGGAACCCGGATTATTGTTGACCCAGGATTAATAAACCTGTCCCGTTATTAGGGTGGTGTTCCCTCCAAAACTGGTCTGAATCCCCACTAAAAGGGGATACCCCCGGTTGAAAATCAGCCAGTGGTTCTGCTTGGATCCAGGGGTTAACATGAGAGACAAACCCATTTGTGGCGGCGCTTTCCCAGCAGGAGCTGGGCCAGCTGGAGGATGTTGTTGCAGGCGGGTTCGAACCCGCGAGTCGCGAATCGGAGCCTCGATTCGCGTGGGGCTAAGGCTGAGCCCGGGAGTTTTTGCAGACCCGAGTTGGTTTTTAGCCTTTGGTGGTACAGGTCTTTTCATCCCACGCATGGAAAAGTGCATGCGTCAACTTTGCATGTCAGGCACGGAGAGGTCCGGTTGCGGAGGGTCGGTTCCCAGACCTCCGGATGGCGCTTTCAAAAAATAAAGCGACCAAAAGGGGGTTTTGGGGATCTGGTGGCCTGGAAGTCGCCCCAATGTTTGGAAGCCGCATGGGGAAGGCACTTTCCAATGTCCAATCCAAGCCAATGACCGAATCCTTGCTGGTGCGATAGGTAGGGAATGACCGAGTCCGGGTGTTGGGAATGAACTGGAAGGGAATCCCCTGAAAGGAACCTATCGAACCAGCAAGTCATCACCAGCAAACCGCACGTTTTGGTGATTGGTTCCATTTACCGATCCTTGGCCACCCATTTCGGGGTTACCCGATTTGTTGTCCACCACCCTTGGTCCCCGGCCATCCTTAGCATCTTAGCCTTTTAGTGTGGGCATGTCCATTCCAGCCACAAGTCGACTTGTAGCAGTGGATCCGAAAACGGACTGCCCAGCACCCATCATGTTTGAAGAATCGCGCCAATTTCCAGATGTCAGGGTTACCACCACGCCCCGAAATAAAAAGAGAACCACGGTGGCCCCGCCTTCGCCGACGCCCCACCCGAGGCCTTGAGGCGCAGCTGAGGGAGGCGCAGGCCCTGGGCTCGCGCCAGGGCAGCGAGCTGCAGGCGGCCAAGGACCAGGCGACGCGGTCGAAGCGGTGGATGCGGGTGGGTGAGCCGTGGATTTGGGGGGGGAAAAGGGGGTTGATGACTTCGAATCCCGTTTTTTTGGGTGAGAACAGTTTTTTGTTCTCCGGTAGACTGTAGAACAAAAAAACCTGGTTGATGAATAATAGGGGGGGGGGGGTCCCCATTTTAGTGGGGATTTATCACTTTTGGAGGGGGCACCCATGTGGGGTTTAGGGGTGGTGAGCACGGGACATTGGATAACCCTAAGTGTGGACATGGGGGTTGATGACTGTTGCACTAAGGGGGTCCAGTTTTTCCGGCATGGGCAACTTTTTTCAGGTGAAGGTCATCGGTGGTTTTCATCGGACCTGAAGAGATCAACCTACAAGTGGGTGCCTCGAGGCTTCTTGATTTTGAGGCTGACCCCAAAAATGGCCAGCAGGTGATGCTTGTGGCTTCCCAATAGAAATCACACAGCAAAAAGGGGTGTCAACAAGAAAGACGCACGCATGGCGGCTGGTTTTTTGAGACGAAGGTACCTCTTTTCAGGTTGGTTTAAAGGGGGACCGGCTCGGTACCCCTTTTTGGACTGGGGTTGCCCTCACGAAAGGCACGCCTACCGGCCAGCCCTGTGTCCTTCAGCGCTGGACCACAGCACAGCAACGATCCAAGCCTCAGGCGCAGAGCGACCAACAAGTTGAGACATGCAAGTCTTAAGGTTGTGTAAGCCAGACAAATAACCGATCGCAACAGTGGCCCTGTTTGACTGCTGAACCTTGCTTCTTGCTCTTGCAATGGGAAAAGGGGTGCTAATGAACTTGAAAGATGGTGGCTTTCGGGTGGATGTCAAAACCATGGACAACCCCAGATCCATGAAGAAGAAACAAAGAACGTGGACTTCAACGGATTGCGGCTCTTCGAGCTGTTGCAGCCTTAAGAAAGTTTCCAACTATCTTGAGCTCCAAAGTGGTTCTCGTTTAAGACTAGTGTTCTCAAGTAAGAAAGCACTCGGCTCTGTGCACTTCGTCTGTCAAGATTAAAGACATGGAGCCAAGTGCATAGAGCCAAGTGCGTAGAGTCTCGTGCTCCACAAATCCAGCAGCAAGAAACAGAAGACCCTACAACATACAAACACTTCCACAAGGTTCAAACCCAGCCAATCCAAACCGCCAAGGCTAAGCTGAAGGGTCCCAGCTGATCGTCTTGGGTAGCAAGCTTTGGGACAGGGTTCAAAAGAGCTCGCCCTCAAACGAGGAACGCAAACTTGTGGAAGATGTGCCAAGGCTTGACAGCTGGAGAACCTCCGGCTGATGTCCTCTTTGACTAGGTTTTTGCTCAGCCTGGGTTCAGCTTCCCCCTAGTTGCTAGTTGGTGGTTTGAATTTGCGGTTTGGTGGTTTGGGGCTAAGGTGGTTAGTTCAAATCCGACGCACCTGCCGGGGTCCTCAAAAATAATGACCAAAAGCATCCCATAGGTCCCAGACAGGAAGCAAACTGGAGGGCTTCATATAAACACACTTTGTGTAAAATCCAAACTGGAGACCCTTCAGAACCGGAGATCCTCAGAAGCCGACGTGAAGCTGGACACAGGTCGCCAGCCTGGAGCGCGAGCTGGGCGAGGAGGCGAACTCTCATTCCCGCGCGGAGCCATAGAACCAAACCTCCCCTCCCCCCTTTAAGGGGGACGGCGCGAGTTCTCGGAATCAACCCGTGTCTTTTTGTTCTTTTTTTTTTCTTTGGGGGGGGGGTTGGGGTTGGGAATAGAAAGGAGTTCTGGTTTGGATGGTTTTTGTAGCCATTTAGGGCCGCCCAATTTGTCCAAAAGCTCGCCTATGCTCAGAATCACACCTGACCCCAAGTTGGTTCCTTCTCTGCGGGCCAAGTTGTGCATCAGAAAGGACCTTGTGAGGGCCGGAGTGCCTAAGGAAGACGGATCGGTCGAAGCAAGACCGAAGCCCTGAAGACGGCCAGCCCGGAGGAGAATCCAGCTGATGCTATGTGGAAATCCGTACTTCTTGCGTGCTCGGATGCATGTGGTGTTTCTCGCAGATCTTCTGCAGTTGTCCTCCTTAGATTGTTAGCCCGCTTGTTTTGCTTTTTTGGGGGTTGTGTGTTGCGAGGGCAGAAGCTGGCCGCAAAAAAATGCACAGCTAACTTGGCATGCTTCTTACATAATGCCACCCACGATTTCAGGCGATTTCAGGAGGTGCCACATCCAAATCGTCCATTTACTCCGGATGTTGGCTTTTTTAACGCTTTTAATTGAAGTGTGCATCGGCCATTTCCTTTGGGTTTCGCAGGAGGCCCAACAGCTGGAGACCAAGCGCGAGCACGAAGAGGCCTATCCAGGGACCAAACGGCGGATGTTTGGAGGCCCCTTTCAGAATCCGTGAGTCCGAGATGAGTTCCGGAGCCAGCTTTGACTCA